CGTCTGCCCTCTGACATGGAGGGCGGTGTCTCCTTGCCTTCCGTCTGTCCTCTGCCTGTTAGATCACCTTCTAGTAGTAGACATCCACACAGGATGGAGGGTGGTGTCTCCTTGCCCTTCCAGGTCACTATTGTAGGAGCAGGTCTTCAAGATAACCCTTATCAGAAATTTAATCCATAAGTGGTTCTAGTTGTCACTGGTAAGAGATTATTGAGTATATATACCCTCACAGATAATAACTAATCCTGTAGAAAGTTCAAATATTTGTCTTAATCAAGTTTTTGGTACTGACATTTTTATTAGAGGGAAATACAGTGATAGTATTTAATTAAACGCTTGTTACTATTGTACAGTAAATATAAAACCTAACGACCAGGAAAAGCTTTCAGTGGACCGAGCAGGGTACTCAGTTACTAAGTGCTTGACTGGCATAGTCTTTGTAGTTTTAAATGCAAACAGGCTTCTCTATCTTGTACTGTCTTCTCTGAAGATGCTATTCCTTCACAGTTTGTTTTTTTATGTACTTGAATGTTATGTACAGCCGTAAGCTTATGTTCTTTATTTAAAATACAAAGGGATTAATTCAGTTTGCAAATGTAAATACAACTGAATATTTGTTATTTATCCTACAGAACTTTCTAGAACAGTGTATTTAGATCTACCTCATTCGTTTTGAACACTCTCCTTTACCGTGCTCTGTGTGTGTGTGTGTGTGTGTGTGTGTGTGTGTGTGTGTGTGTATACCCATGTGTAGAAGTCAGAACAATTTGTAGGAGTCGTTTAGTCATTTATCTTCTTTTATTGAATTTCTAGGGTCAGGCTTGGCAGCAGCAGGTTCTCTACCTATTGAGCTATCTCACTGACTATTACTTTTTTTTTTTTAAGGACTGCATAATTTTACCAATCTTGATACTATATATATTTAGATGGTACCAAACACATGTAATTTTTTAAATAAATGGTATTTGCTTACTTATTATTATTACATATGAAGATATGTATTTCATAGTTCTGAAAGTATATAAATTAGGTTATGTTTTAAAAATATAATTATTAATATAAATAAATTTGAATTTAATTTTTAATAAGTACTGCTAAGTTGCCTTCCAAGTTGGGTTTACTGTTTTTTGCTGACAGTTTGAAATGAAAATCTTTTGTAATACAGATAGCAGTATGGTACATTTCACCCTAAAACATTGGGCTACAATTTTTTTTCAATGGTATGAAATCAGTTTTGTTTTTTACCTGACTTAAATTAGTAAGGTAAAGAATTTTATGTAAAAATACTGAAATTATATAATTCAGTTAATTTTCTTTTTAAAATTTCTACTGAATGTCTTCAGAACTTAATGTTAAGACAATTTCTTAATGAAAATGAGAATTGAAATGTGACAAAAGCCGTTATTTGCTCACTTATTTGGAAGGAACAGAGGCTAAACAGAACTCTTTTCCATGCGATAGAGCATTTGTCCTCATAATTTACGCTTTTCCTTTTCTAAAAACTTGCATACATACTTTTTTATTTTTCTCATACTTTTGCTTCTAAGGTTTGCTAAAGATCTTACATAATATAGTAAAGGTCATTAAAACAGAAGAATTAAAACTTTATTATCTTCTAGGAATATAATTCAAAGTATGTTGACTTGATTGAGGAACAACTTAATGAAGCCCTCACTACGTACAGGAAGCCTATTGATGGTGATAACTACGTTCGTCGCAGTAATCAAAGGTATGGTTCAGTCAGGGGGGGTCTGTCTATTACTGTCTCTCAAATGCCAAATTTAAAGCAGCCTTTAATAAGTTATTTAAAAACCGTTTCTGAGGACACTATAGACTGATGCAGGAAAACTCTTGCTTGACCAGGGCTCCAGGTTTCTTCTGGATTATTGTGCATGCCGAGCGTGCTTCTTGTTGAGCTGCCCGCTTAGATCCACCCCGTGGCCTCAGCCCAGGCTGCTTCCTTAGCTCCAGCTTTGTTACCATTAAACTTTGAGACCTGAAAACCTTTATTTTTTTCAGAGAAATTCTCAGAGTTTCATACCTCTATAGTTGTGTTAGGAGTTATATCAAGGTATTAATAGTTGTTTACTTACTTAGCATACTTAAGTATGTTAGTAACTTTCTCAGTCATCTTCCCCCACACCAGACTACAGCGGCCTCATGTCTACCTACCCGTACACCTTTATGGACAACTAGTACACCACAAAACAGGCTGCCATTTACTGGAAGTACAGGTAAAAATGTCATTTGCATTTTACATTGTAAAAAGAGTAAAAGAAAAATATTAATAGTGCTAAAATAATTATCTTTGCCAAGATTTCTCAAAAGCTGTTTTGTAACTGACTTAGCTAGTATTCAAATTGCTTGGTGTCATAATCATATGATAAAATCTAAACATTAATTTTAAGGAGATGCTATTTTCTAATTAAAAGAAACATAGAGAAGAGATGGCTCAGTGGGTAGAAAGACACCTGTTGTCTAGAAAGACACCTGTTGTCTAGCTTGATAATCTTGAATTTGCTCCTAAGGAGCCATGTAGTAGAAGGAAAGATCCAGTCTGTGTGGGTTTTCCTCTAATATCTACAAGTGCGCTGTGGCATACACACACGGACACACACACAGTGCTTCTACAACATTAATATTTATGACTTATATTACCAGGTATTATATACTTCAGTAAGTCCTTCATATGTAATTATTTATGTACTTATATATTCATATGTATTTATTACCTCACAAACCTTGTACGACAGGATCTGCTATTGTTTACAGATTAGGAATTCAAGGTATAAGAATGCTCAGTAACTTGAGTAACTAATTTCTCGCGTAGCATTAGCCTCAGCTAAGGTCTTCATGACTCACTCAAAAAATTATAATCACATACACAGAAAAATTAAGTTTCTTCCTTGCATCAGAAGCTGAGCTGAATTTAGTGCAGATTCGTGAGAAGTGTAGACTATGAACTGAGAACCCGAGCCTCCTAAAAACGCTGAGTGTACCGTTGCTCTTGAAGTTCTAAGTGAGAAGTGACAGGAGCACACCTTTGCTGTCTTGTGCCAGGGTCTGGGTGCTTACGTGGTACTTCCTTCTCTCTCCAGAGTATCATCACAGAACTCTGTCACAACGTTCGCACTCCAGACTTGGATAAATGGGAAGAGATTAAAAAGCTGAAAGCCTCTCTTTGGGCCCTGGTTTGTAGTAAACATTTCTGGTCTTTGCAGTGTTTATGGGTTTTGTTTTTTTTAGGTTTCTCCCACTAATACTAAATAAATTAAAATTACTTTACCTTGAACTTGTTCTTGGATTACTATTTAAAGACTAGGATTGTTCCTAACAATGTAAAGATTATCTGTATGCTGAGGAAATAGATGCGAGATGATTAGACTGTTAGTGCTGGCGTCTTTTTCTTGTAAAACATTGCTTACTCCTAGCACATCTTATTTAAGTTTTGGGTTATTTTCTTTCATGGACTTTTTTCTCTCTCTCTTAGTCAGGTTTAAATATATTTCTTGGTAGATTTTAAAGTTTCTTCAAAGTATTAGTCTTATAAATATTTGATATTTCTTTTAGGGAAATATTGGCTCATCGAATTGGGGGCTTAATTTGCTACAGGAAGAAAATGTGATTCCAGATATATTAAAACTTGCAAAACAGTGTGAAGTCCTTTCCATCAGAGGGTATGTTACTTTCCTGAAGTCTTTCTAGTGAATATATTCGTACTTAGAAATAAATGTAAGGCAGTGTTTCATGGTTCATAATTGTTGATTTAAATGTGCTGTTCTAGGGCCTTGCTACATAGCCTTCTTTTTTTCTTTTTCTTTTTTTAAGATTCATGTATTTTATTTATTCATTTATTTATTTTTATGTGTATGAGTACACTGTAGATGTCTTCAGACACACCAGAAGAGGGCATTGGATCCCATTACAGAAGGTTGTGAGCCACCATGTGGTTGCTGGGAATTGAACTCAGGACCTCTGGAAGAGCAGTCAGTGCTCTTGCTCTTAACCACTGAGCCATCTCTCCCCAGCCCACAGCCTTCTTTTTGTTTTAATCATTTTTACTGGGAGTCATGGTTTCCATCGTGATTCACAAATTCCTACCAGATTTAATCACAAACAACAATTTTTAAATGTCTTTTTAAGGAAAATATGAATACTCATACAGTAAGTAGATTCTTTTATGACTGTTTAAGAAATCTCACCTTGGAATTACAAACTGTTTTTACCACATATTTTTACATGCAGGACCTGTGTGTATGTTCTTGGGCTCATAGCTAAAACCAAGCAAGGCTGTGATATTCTAAAATGTCACAGCTGGGATTCTGTGAGGCACAGTCGCAAGCATCTGTGGCCAGTGGTTCCAGATGATGTGGAACAGCTCTGCAACGAGCTCTCATCTGTCCCAAGCACCCTCAGTTTGAACTCTGAGTCTACCAGCTCTAGACACAACAGTGAGAGTGAGTCTGCACCTTCAAGTGAGTACCTCGGTCACATACAGTCAACCCCAGAGTCAGTGTTGGAGTTGTTATATGCGATTTCAAAACTTAAATCTATTCATTACAGTCCAAGTTTACACTTCTCTTTTCTAATTAGTTTTTGGAGCAAGGGTCTTGTATGACCTGGAACGTGCTAAATAGCCAAGGATGGTTTTGACTTCCTGAACTTCATGTCTCCATCTCTTGTGTTCTGGGATATAGGCATGTAGGCATACCCAGATCCATTGCTTCCTTCTTCAAAGATAATATCTTGATGGCTATACCCTACTAGAGACTGCACTTCCTTTCACAGCAGTGACCACCAGCTCACCTGTTCTCTCCCTTGCTTTGTAGATAACTTTTAGGAGTTATGTCATCAGAGATGATCATAAATCATGTATCAGAGAAACCAGTTCCTTTTTGTTTTCAGAACAGATAGGTCTAGCAGGTTTTTACCTACCTTCATTTACTTAATTTTTTCCCTTTTTTTCATACATACACGTAATTGAACTAGATTGTATTTGCTAAGAGAGTCATATGTCTCGTTAGGTCTCTGTCTCCCTTCTAAAAAGTAGATTATTTGCTTACTCCTAGCACACCTTACTTAAGGTTTTGGTTTTTTCTTGCATGGACTTTTTTTTCTCATAGTTAAATTTGTTTCACCAGTACCAGGGAGGAATGAAAAGAAAAGAGAGAGGTTGGGTTTGCATACACACCATAAACTAATCTGTTATATGTATTAATTATTGAAAATAGACTAATTAATTTAAAAATTAAATGACAATCCTCATTAGATGTTAAAATACTGTGGGGAGCCACAGTGTTGCTGAGTAGTAGAGCACTTGACTGTTTTCTGTCCGGGTTTATGTCCCAGAACTAGAGGGAAAAAGGAAACTGAAGGATTGTTAAAGGATAGGACGCTAAAAATAAGAGCTTGTGAGGCAGACGATAGAGTCGGAGTCTGCGTGACGCTGTGAGTGGTGGGGAAGTAACCAGATATCCCTGTGCTTTACGATCATAACACAAGGGGGCAAGACGGCACACACTTAATCCCAGCACAGTGTGTGTGGGGGGGGGGGGGG